ACAGGAGAAGGGGACGGAGCAGCGCTCTCTGCTGGGGTTTGATTGGTTACAATCGAAGTAGATGTTATTGGTCCAGTCAAGGTATGTTGTAGCACCGCAGCATCCAAACTGGAGGAGGAGAGGAAAAATAAATAAATAGAGAATATGATTTTTTTTGTTTCTTTTATGCAAGTGAAGCATACAGGATATTTCATCTTTACGTACAAGATGTTCTTTCCTCCAGATTATTTTAAAGTAACATCGAAAATCCAATGCTAGTTGATTCTGATGAAATAAATACCCCATCTGACCAAAGTAAGACACTCCTCCGGTTCTGCCTCTGCTGCAGGAGTTCAAAACACAATTTTGACGAAACACTCACCTCTTCTTGGCCGAAGTCTATAAGATTTTGCAGATCGACGTCATCTCTGTAGTGAACGATTGCATCATTGATCACTTCTGTCACTTTCTGTCTTGCCTTGAAGGTAAAAAATAAAGAAAGAAGTAAAAAAAAAAATCTCAGACGTAGAAATCTGGTCAAAATGGTCAAAACGTGGAAAAACTAAATTTTGACCAGATTAAAACGCCTTTCTAGAGCAACATGATTTTACAAGCTACTTCAGTTAGTCTCTATGAATTTGCTTTTAATCGACATAAATCTATGCTCACATTTAATTAATTAATTGCTTGATTACCTTATTTGAAAAGATGAAGCCCAGAACACCAGCAGCCAGTTGGAGTATGAAAATCACCACCAGGAAGATACAGAACTAGGACGGTAAAGAAAAAAAAATTATATATATATATATATATATATATATATAATATATATATATATATATATATATATATATATATATATATATATATATATATATATATATATATATATTTGTAAATTTATTTTACCATTTTATATCAATTAACTTAATGTAAGTTAATCACTTACATGATGACCTTGTAAAGTGCCTGCACTCAAACACCTAAAACTTTTCTACATTTTCCTACCTTTCAACCACAAATTGTCATTTATTGGTCAAATAAAAGGATATGTACTAGCTATATGTTTGCATATAGCTAGCAGTATTTTTGTTTTCTACACATGCATCCTTGGAAAGCCTCAGAACTTTGTTCAAACTCATTAGGGAACAAAAATAAGTCGTGAACATATACCAGGCAGATCATGGAGAATGTTCCTGGGAAATTTAAAGCTATCAGATTAGATTACAGAACAGCATAGCAAGGTTTGGACGTCTCATCCGACGTCCCACAGACATAGTGAAAACTGGAAATGAAAACGGTAGGCTTGCAAAGATTTGGTTGTCCAATTATACTGACAGGCTAAGAAAAACAAAAAGGCAAAAACATCAGCAAAGCTGGCAAAGGCAACTCTTAAGCTTGCCACACTTTTCAGGTTTTTATTTGCAATAAGATTTGAAATAAATCCCTTTCTTTACACTTCAAATTTGTGGCTTTAATGTGTCAACAATAGGGGGGGGAAAAAGCATGAATACTCTTGCAAAGCATTGTATTTCACTGCATATATTTGGGTGCATGCATTTTTCCCCCCCAAATAAAACAGTTTTAAGTCTTAGATTAATAAAATGGATTAGAGTATTTAAAACCCAGGTACTGTTTGCAGGAGGCAGATGTTTTCTCGCAGCGAACCCACGCAGCCACAGAAGGTGACCAGGAACATCAGGACTCCCACAATCATCAGCATAACAGCGGGATCCACAGACAGAGATGCCAGGGTTGCCTCTGCAAACAAAGATGGAGACATTTCATCTGCTTCCCGTTACAGAGGCTGCTCCATCCTTGTGCCTCTTGAAGTACAGCGGAGACCCAGTACCGAATCCAGCAGGTACGTGCGACAATTTACCCGCATACTTTGCTGTACGGGCGTAAACGCCGACTGCCACCAAGACCAGGGAGATTATCTGTAAGCGAACATGAAAAAATAAATAAATAATCACACAGAAAACAGGAGAACATTCGTCAGAGCAGCTGTTGAAAACTATTTCTATGTGCTTGAACTTGTCAGGGGTGTGGCGCCATCTAGACACTTCCTCTTCGTAACAAGAAAGATGTGCAGGGGGAGTTTATGAATCATATTTAATGAATCACTGATGAAATATTCCAAAACTATCCCATTTCTTCCCAATTAAAGTACGCAAAGTTGCGAAATCCTGTCTCCGCCATCGGTAATAAAGCATCTTATTTAGCTCTCGTCTCCCATTCTTGACGGAATAAAAGAAAGAGTTCAGGAACAAACCCTGTCCACCCTGAATGACATGGATCCAATTACCATAGAGACTGGAGCCTTGTTAGGAAGGACACTTATTTCTCTCCCTTGTTTTGTGACGGCACAGCAAACAGACCAAGTATGACACCCGAAGCACACAGGTGGGTTTGGAACATGTTTAGGAAAGTGTAAAAACAAGTATCTTAAAAATTGACAAAAACTGAACAGTCAAGATTAGAAAAAGGTGCAGTCGTGGAGCAGCAAACCTCTGCTCGGAGCACACAGAATCCGACATAACCTGAGGCAGCAGAAATGACAACGCATTCCAAGCTTCAAGTTCTCACACATCCTTATCTTACTGAAACAGCCGCGAGTCGTGCTTACCGAGAGTGCTGAATCCAAATTAATAAAGAGACTGATCTCTTTTCAGAGGGGCACACCTGAAAGGTCATGTCAGATTTGGGCTTCCCCTCCCCAACTCAACATTTTGTGGGGACTTTTTTCTGCCCATGCAGCAGAAAGACAAAACAAAAAGTCTCTAAATCTCAGCAAGTTTAATCTGGAACAACAAACCACCTCAGACAAGGCTGCAAAAGTTCACCTGATGCCGAAACCCTTTGTATGAACTTTGCAAGACACACTGCAGGGAGTTTCACTTCCACTATCTACATTCAGATGCATTTGAATTGTGAAATTTCAGATCAGGCAGAAGTGCAGTGAATATTATGGGTAAATTATTTGATGAAGTTTTGCAATAAAGAAGAAATGTAATTTCTTTGGACTCAAATGAAAGAAGTGTGACAATTTGCCAACTTTCTAAGCATCGAGCCCATTTGGCTCAAGTTTTAAAAAAATTGAGCTTCTTTATATTATGAAAAAAATATAGTCTTGGTTCTGCAAGGCTGACTGTTTGGCATATTTAAGGTAAATGTAAAGGTCATTTTAGAGTTGAGTATGTGCAATCTGTATCCTGACCCTACCTGTGTTAAAAAGTAACTAAAAACAAACAAAACAAAACTAACAACATCAAAACAACTAAACTGTTTTAAAGATCTTGCCAAGTGCCTTACTAAAATGACTGCTTTTGCATAACCACATTTTGTGATTGCAAGATGAGTGATTAACTTAACACACAAAAGAGATCAAAGTGGTTTTGATCACTCACCCAGAAAATGAAATTAAAAAAGAACAGCAGGTATTTCACAACTGAGCTGACAAAGGTGAAATCCTCGCCGGATCCCGCTGCGCCCCTGCGGTTTCCTCCCATGGCTCTGACCCTGCTGCTTCAACCACGTTTGCGCACAAAAACAAAAACGCATTCGTGGAAGTCGAAGCTCGTAGTCATAAGCATAATGATGGCGTCTGAAAGCTGCTTTGCTCCAGTGACCGACAGATTCCAAGCAGAGACAGTCAAATCTGACTGGGCTTGTCAGCAGTGGGTGTTCAGTTTCCGTCCACGCCTTCACAGGTGATCACATGATGCAAACAATGTGCAGACGGAGTCTCCCCCACAAGTGGATGGCTTGTTGCTTCGACTTATTCATTTAATTTTTGCGAAAAAAATCTAAAAAAATAAAAGAGTTAGTGCCTCTAAAAAGTGTAGTTAAAGGTCTGTAGAGAGTAGAAGAATCCATTGTTTTCATTTTAATTGTTATGCTCAATTTCCTTACTTCTTTCTTTCTTTCTTTCTTTCTTTCTTTCTTTCTTTCTTTCTTTCTTTCTTTCTTTCTTTCTTTCTTTCTTTCTTTCTTTCTTTCTTTCTTTCTTTCTTTCTTTCTTTCTTTCAGTTTCACTATTAATGTGTGCAAAGAAGTGCACCTTACAGAAGCGTTAATGCCTTACACTTTCTCCAGAATATATTATGTATGTATGTATGTATGTATGTATGTATGTATGTATGTATGTATGTATGTATGTATGTATGTATGTATGTATGTATGTATGTATGTATGTATGTATGTATGTATGTATGTATGTATGTATGTTCTGATCGACAGTGGTCACCGGTAGGTGGCGGTGTTGCGTCGCACTGCTGTGTGCTCGTCGCCACAACGAGAAGAAGAACATTTGCTTATCCGGAAGTTGTTGTTGTTGGAGCCTCTGCGAGTTTCACGTGAAATTATATTTTGCTTTCTTCGCTCAGACGTCTCCATTACCCCCAACATGGTGCGGAGTGGCAAAGGTTTGTTCGATAATTACACCCACATCCCCGCTGGTTTTGCTACTTTTATAAATACGGCTGATTTCCAAAGGTGTTAATTGCAACGCTAGTTTTAGCTCATCTTCTCCTCTGTGTCGAGAGGTGGATGCACTTGCTTTTAACCCTCGGACCCTAATGTCCCCTTTAGGCTCCCCGCTTCCTCCAGCCTCCTTGCAGCTGCTGGTTCCTCCTGTGAGGCTCATGTCTGCCTTCGTGTGGAAAGCGGTGCAGCAGGACAGCGCCGTCCAGTACGAGAAGCTGCTGGACTTCATCGACCTGGTCACCGAGATCGTGCCGGAGCTTCTCAGTCCCAGTCAGAAGGGTCAGCTCGTCCTGGGCCTCAGAGCGAGGGTGAGGAAGATACTTTAGACTTGGATGTCTGATGAGGTGGAGAGTTAACTGAGAGCTTAGTATTCTTACTTCTTCCATGTTTATGAGTTACTGTGTGATCTGTGCTTGTATAGAGGCGATCACACTCACTGAAAGATTATTGAAGCAACAAATTGTTCTTTATTGACTTAAAACCTGTGGAAGGAGCACAGGCGCACTTTTTGTTTTCTAAACAATTTTTACTTTTTGGCTTTGTTTTTATTTGACAACATGCAGATTTTATGTTTTTGTGAACTTGAAAGCAGACTAGATTATTTCATCATATCCTAAAGTATAAAAAGCCCGTATTTGAAATGGGGTTAACTTTCTGATTTATCATGGGTGTAGGATTCTTTGTTGCAGTTTTTCCATTTGTCACATGCTTGCAGCTTTATTGATGTTTCCCGTTCTCTGTCCTGATAACTCCGCTCTGATCGTTGTGTTGCTGCAGTTTGTCCTGGAGTTGTGCCGGGGCAACGGTGTAGCTAACATCAAGGCGATCCAAGGCCACCTGGATAAAATCCACACCTGCTGCCTGGAACTGAGCAACAATGAACACATGGTGAGCCTTTAAAGAAAGCTCTCGCATTACTCAGTTATTATTGTAATGATAATATACATATATATATATATATATTTTTTAAAAAGACATTGAGGTAATTGCTAACTTTTCTGTGCCCATCTCTTGACAGGAAAGCTCTGATATTCTGAAGACTTCCTATAGTAACTTTGCAAGCTTGGTGCAGAACATTTTGAATGTTCCCTTAGAAAAGGAACTGTTCTTCCAAGTGAGTTCATTTAAACATTAAAGTAACTAAGTTTTCCAAGAACAGATCAGAGATTATACATCAGAAAAAAATACCAAATTATTTCAGCTTTTTCAGACATAGCTTTTGCACAGTAATCTGAAAACCAATTATAAGAGGATGTAAATAGCACCTGATTTAATCATGTTAATGTGTCTAGTAGCAATTATTTATTTATCACATTACAAGCTTGTCAAATGAAATTAAATCTGCTCCTCTGGTTATGTGTGTAGGAGGTTTTTCCTGATCATTATGGATTGGCCTTCAACCAGCGGATCCAACAGCTTGTATCTTTGCTTCTGTCAAGACTGGAGCAGCTGTTGCCTATACCAGACCTGCAGCAGGTATGCTCAAAGTCTCTACAGAAGAGGAGTAGTCATGTATCTGCATTTGCCAGTGCCTATATGCAGTTTTTCAGTATGAAAACCTTGGATAAAAATACACAATTTATATTGCAGTATCAAGAAAAAAACGTCTCCTCAAATAGCCAGCCTGCAGTACGCTGCTTACTGCTTATGGTTTGCAAAATGCTGCTTTGTTGTGATGATGTTCTTTTAGCTTCCACACCACAACTCTGTGATTTTCACAATTGGATTACTTCCCAACAAAACTGTCTTTCTTAGAGTTAATGGAAAACTATAATAGTCTTAGCTTTAGCTAGCTGACATATACTGTATGCACAAGAACAAGGTGGGAGCATAGGCTTAGGCCTTTGCTGGCATCTAATTGAAAAAAAATCTAGGAAAAACAATGACAGAAAATTTCAGTGGTTTTGAAGCCATAACTTTTTAAAACTGGAAATCTGTCCTTCCCTTGCAGCTGGAACTGTTTCAACCTTGACACGTGTGCTGCGGTGCTGAGAAGGAAGAGAAGAGTGCATTGGAAAGGAGACAAGAAGAGTAAACAGTGTAGGGTATTAACGAAACGAAATGAACAAGAGATGGTGAGAAATTGTAGAAATGCAACAGGAATATAAGGACACAACTGAAAAGGGTCTCATTTCCCCTGTGTGGTGTGTAGTTATTACCACAATTTTAAGACTCCTTTGGAAGAACGAATGGCTGTCAGAGCTGGCTGCTCCTCCATCCCTCCACACACCCAGAGACTCCATTACGTCCTGATGGGCAGGGGTTTAAAACCCATCGTGAGCATATAGGTGCGAAGGGGAAGGCAATGTATGGGTCCTGAGAAACACATAGTCAGGCAATCTACCATGATGAAGAGGTTGCCTCTTCTGTATCTTCTCTCGGACTCAGCATGTCTTCCTACATCCCCTTTAAGAGCCACTATGCACCGCTGAAATGCCTCACCAGCTGAATGGCATGACACCTGCCGCCCCATGATCCACTCTTCCTTGTCCTATGTTTCCTCACATGCCCCAATAAAAGCACCCTACTGTCAGCAACTCTTTTTTTTATGTTGCTTGAAGAGGCATCTTACTAATGCAGAGACGGATGTTATCTAAGGGAAATAAATTGAAAAAGTGTTTGGATTTCAGCAGCATCTGTAGGTAGCTGCTGAAATCCAGGGCTTTGTTTCTGTGCTCATTCTGTGAAAGCTTAAGGCTGCAAGGTTAACTGTTGTGTGCTTAACCTCTGTTTTCACAAGGGAGATGAATGGTGTTAAACATGCCAGTTTGTGCTGTGGGAGTTGTATGATAAATTTATTAAAGGCAACCGAAGAACACAACTTTCTAAATAACCTAATTGAAAAGGCTTCAGACCGTTGTACTGAAGATTGTTTACCTCCCAGCGGGATTTAGATAGAATAATTATGTATTTATTGATTTTTAATCAAAGCTTCAGTGGCCTATATTTGTTCTCACTGTGCTTCATCTTTTTCCTGATGTCTGGGGAAACGCATGCAATGCCGTACACATTATATACTCTCTTTCAACAATGTTCCACTTGCATAGAGATTATAAAAAGAAAAATAAATCTTTTGCCTGTTGACATTTTACATGTATGTAATTTGTTTTTCTTTGTATTGTTACAGTTTAGTAAATTACACCAATGCATGCACCAGTCAAAGATTTGGACAATTTCAAATCACAGATTTTGTACAGCTCAGACCTGCTGATTTCTTCTTTAATAGCCATATAGATCTACAAAATGTTTTTTTTTTCCTTCAGTCATAAAATTAGATATCTCTTATAAAATTAAACAAAGTTCTATCTCTTTCTAAAAAATAATTAGGTTCTGGGACAGAAACAACATATTTCACTTGTTTGCACTTAATTGTTTACAAGTCAGTAGAATGAGGAAAATAAATGTAACTCAAATTATTTAAAGTAACTTGTCATAATTTCTTTGAACAAGTTAGAATATTTATAGAACATTTCCATTACATTTATTACACAAAATCATTCACAGATAAACAACATGACATTTCACCTGGTCAGTTCTGCCTATTTTAAGCTCCTTCCAGAATTAGCTGATTTAGGGCTACGTCACTATTTTGGAAGTAAGCTGCAGATGGCCACACCCACCAACTCTAACTTTATATTGAAAAAAAGTTTGCAAACATATGCACAATTGTCCAGTAGTTTTTCTAAATGTTCATTTTTAGCACTTGGCCTGTTTCTAGAAGTGAGTGGAAATGCAAAAACATAAAAAAAGAGAATTTTGAATATCAGGCCCCCTTTAAGAATCTACAAGGATCTGCTGTTGATGGTGATGCTCTAGGTAGGAAAGATCTCTGATGGTGGTCAGTCTAGAAAGGCTTCTGATTGAAGACTGTTGATGTAGGACATTCTCATCACTGTCAAGAGATGCTAACAGATTTTTTTTTTACTATTTGTCTATTGAGGTCTCTGTATTTTCCTTAAGAAAACTCTCCTCCTTTAGAATCACCAATTCTTTTTTTTTTTTTCAAACTATTTGGCTAAATTGCGTGAATGTCTTACTAAATTGTTAATAAAAGCAGATCGCAAGGTTTTATTTTTACTCTTGTGAAGGAGAGTTTTCTTTTTTTAACTAAAGATTTGTTGTCAAAGATCCTGTCTGGATTTGAGAATAAAAATAAGTTTCTTCATTTGGTCTTGTTTTGAAGTTATGCTTTGGTAACTTAAAAAATGTCTGTATTGTGAATTTGCACACTACCACAGACCCCTGGGGTTATTGTTTCTTGCAGTTTATCCTATTTGCTGTAACATCTTTCTTCTGAGCTATTCATTCTTTTGATCATCACCCGGCAACTTGCTGACTATTTTTACCCTGCATTTTGTTTGTGATACTTCTTTAGATTTTTTTTTTCTTCTTCTTTTTATCAACATGTGTGCTAGAGGTCAGAAATACAGCTCTCAGCACTGGATAGCTTAATTACAGCAAACTAACAACAACTTCTCCGTGCAGGTACCATATGTCAAAGTGGCTCCAGAGGACATCCTGAAGGTGCAGTTTCCCCGCTTCACAACTCTGGACTTGAGACCAACGAACACCGACATCAGCTTGGCCGTGGCCGGCCTTCTTACATTCTTTAACAGCACCGCCTCCTGCCTCATCTGTGCCCAGGCCGACTGTGAGTGCAACATTCACACCTTCCTGACAAAATACATAAACATGCACACCTGCAGAGAAGGTTCACAAAGCCTCCTCCCCTGCAGCTGCCAACAAAGGACAAACACTTTCTTTGTCTAATGTCTGCTACCCCTTAACACATGTTAGCACACACAGGCTTCTCGCATGCTCGCTGACAAACACAGAGCTGTGGCACGCTTTCTTCTGAAGCAGCTGCTGCACTCCACACGGCCACAGCGCACAACTTCCTCACAGCAGTCCGCCCACTTAAAATTACATTTACTGCAGAATCACTTCCCCGCTCCAGCTGTATTGTCATTTTTAAAATTAGGACAACACATTTAGCTGTGTCAGGTTGATCTATCTTCAAATGTGTCCGCACACGCTCTCATATTCTGCGACAGAAAACCAATAATCTTTAAGACAAAGGAGGATGCAGCTGTAACCAGCAGTGATCTGACTGCCTTCTTGTCAGAGGCCCTTCTCAGATTCTAAAGATATTTAACTAAATGACCTTTAAGGTTGTAAATCTCCCCAATGAAAGTTATTTTTGTAAACAGAGAGGAAGATTAAATTTGGGTTTGTTCCCACCCTCTTGAGGTCCAGCCTCAGTAATTACAACTCCCTTGACAAAGACACTGTGACCCTGTGGCACCAGCTAGCCCCTTTTTAATCAGTAGAAGGCTTTGAAGAAAAGAAATAGGTTTGAGATATCAGCCATGTGTCAGACAGCCCAGAGGTGGCAATAAGCTACTCTGAGACACCCACCCTGTCTATCTCCACACTCAGTTCTTCTGCCTTTTAACTCCCTCCTTTAATGTCTTCTGGTCTTTACTTCATTAAAAAAACTGTTTGGTCCCTTGATAGAACAGTGTGTAGGATTTAGCACTGGCTTGGAGCTGGGTTGTGGGTTGTAACCATCTGACTACCTTTTGTGAGGCCATTTGTCACCAAGCTGCCAAAAAAATACTAAAATTTGCATACAAAACCAAAAGGTTTTTGTACAATACAATATTGCTTGGGTATTTTCCATAGTGAAAAATGTATAAAAGTATGATCCTGTCACAAACTACAAATGAAGTTAGGAATTAAGAAAGACTTTTGTTGAAAATGTATATTTATATATAAATATATATATATATACATATATATATACAGTATGGTATGTCATTGTACAAGCACCATGTCTTCCAACACAATTAAAACAAAAGCTCTGATACAACAGAGTATGACAGGGCTGTAATTTCACAATATCAGCTGAAAGCCTCATACAAATGTTGGCTGTTCAGTGTCCTTCTTTCGGAAACTAAAAAAGAGTAAAAATTGTTCTCTGTGTATTTTGACTATCTTAGTCTGCTGAGATCAATGTATTTTTCTTGAGCAAAAGTACCGTATTTTCTGAACTATAAGTTGCACCGAAGTATAAGTCGCATTTTTTAGAAAAATTTATTTGCTAAAATCCAATACCACGAACAGACATGTCATCTTGAAAGGCAATAAAAATAGAATAGAAGCAACAACAGGGTGAGTAATTGTACAGTATGCTAATGTTACGTGACAAACAACGAGCCGAGAACGTGCATAACATATTAAGAGCTATTCAGATAAATGTAGCATAAATGACATGTTAACAAGTTTCCCAAACCATCCGTGTCTCTCCAAATCACTAAATTGAATGAAATCTTCATCCTCAATGTTGCTTGTAAACAACTCTGCTAACTCCAAAGGTAGAATAACACAGGCCTAGAGCGCCCTCTTGCAGTTTAGTTTGAAAAAAACATGTAATATGATATAACGATGTGTTGATTTCCACATATAAGTCACTCCGGAGTATAAGTCGCACCCCCAGCCAAACTATGAAAAAAACTGCGACTTATAGTCTGGAAAATACAGTACCTCTTCTAACACCACCAGTTCTTTTTCAAAATATTGTTTTTACACCATATTTGGTTAAATTCTAAATATAAATATTTATAATGCAGTGACTTTATTAAAGAAAAAGCTGAAAATATGGCAAATCGTATGAGATATCGTTATTGGGGTTTTTAAAAATGATATCGTGATATCATTTTTTTGGCAAGCAACATTGCCCAATCCTACCTGGAATGTACAATAAAATAAATTAAATGTCATGCCACCCACTCATATAACCTTCCATGCACTATATCTGTACATCAGTACCTTTTTTTTTTTTTTACAAAGGCATTTATTGCCTCAGAGAGCTGCTTAATACAGCACCTGAAAAGTCTCTGACAACAAATGAACCTTTTAGGCACCCTCTGAGTTTCAGGTCTGTATATAAACACGATAGTTCTCATTTTCATTGGTAAGGTGTTTGGTGCTGTGAGTAGCTTCTGATTTTGTGGCAATAAGCTTGAAGTGGACCGGGAAGGAAATGAAATAAAAAGAGGCAAAATGAAGGAAGATTAGAGGTAGATAAGAGAAACCATGGGAAGTCGGAAATGAAAACAGAGAGGATGCCTTTTGGCATTTGTGTGCAGAGGTGAAAAGACTCGAGTCAGGAAATGTGGGGAAGGTAACAATCCTGGAATCATCAGTAGAAAGCCGGAGACGGTCCAGGAAATGGCAGGCAGCTTTGATTATACTCTGGTCATGTGATCATTCAACAGAAACTGCAGCTAATAACAGTGTAGCTGTGTTTGGATGTGCATGTCTGTGTTTATGTGTTTATATTTGAGCCAGGTAGGTCAGAGTCTATGGGTATTTAAGCTGACACCTATTTGAGTTTGGATCCTGTTCCAGCAGCCACGTCCTTTGCAGAGTTCTTGCAGTCAATTGGTTGGTTGGCGGACTGCTGTCGGTCAGTGGCTCATCCACATGTGCTGAAATCGTTAATCACCCAAGCCAGTGACAGCCTAATATAGTGTGACTAATTCATGAATATTTTCCAGCAATGGCTGAGCAGTCAGGAGGGAAGTTGTGCCCAACAGCTTGGTGCACATCAAGGCAGACATTGATCTAACCTTTTCTACTCTACTAATGTATGTGAACTTTTTTTTTAATATATTTTGTTTCGTCTCTTAGTGAAGTCTGAAGCAAACACCAAGAAAAGTGCTGGTTTATTCACACACGAGGTGTGGACGCAGCTTTGCACACAGAGCTGATAATTATATTGATTCCTGTGTTTGTGACAGGATTGTTCCTGAATAAATGGCTGCACCTGTCACTGAGAAGGAGAAGCTCAAAGACTGTAGTTCAGGTTTAAATTTCTAAAAAGTTTTGACAAAAAAAAAAAAAAGAAACTTTGTTCTGTCACTTTCTTTTTATGTGTTTAAGAAAGTTTCAACTGTTTACATGGTTTCTGGGAGGTATAAAGTAGGAGGTCACAAAAAGCCTCTTTGCCATACCTGTAAACATTTTAAATATGGTCAGTGTTGTCAGTGACATCAGACCACTTTTTTCAGTAACGAGTAATCTAACATGTTGCTATTTCAAATCCAGTGAGACTACTATTACTTATTAAAATTACTTTGTGTTACTGTGCATTACAGTTTTCTTTTGTAATTAAATTTTCCTTCCTCTGCACGCCTTGGGGATTGTCTATGGTTCAGTATAAGCGGCGACAGAAACATAAATAATGGAGGGTTGAGGGAGATGCATTTTTATGCTGGAAAAAAGGAACTACTTTGAGTTACGCTCGCCAAATCTGATTATTATAAGCGACGTTGGGGTTGTTTTTTTTAAGTCACTTGTAGATTTAAGGAGTCGCGGTTTGTGGTTTTTGGGTTTAATAAGCAGACATAACCTCCCAATTTGTCTGACATTTTTGTCTCTCTGTCCATCATTTCACGGGTGATCTGTCCCGCTGTGTCTTTGTTAATGTCAAGTTAATATATTACCTCTGAATGACGTCGAGCTTCGCGTTGAGCTCCAGAAAATAGCAAACATCGAAACTAATAGGAACAGCCCAATAAACGTGAAAACAGCCATGAATTATTAATCTTAATATAAGTGTCAAAAATCTGTGCAGCGGGACATCTGAGTTGTGGAGCGGCAGGGGGAGCTCTGTGCGCTGCGCAGGGCCGTAACGCACAACCAGAACGGGGGCGGGGGTCAAAAATCCTATTTATAGTTTTTCAGACAATAGAAACATACAAAAACAAACAAATCAAGTAGTCAGCAATCTAACAAAGTTACGTTTTCAAGAAGTAACCAATAATCCGATTAAAGTTACTTTTTCAACGTAACTATGCCATCACTGAATACGGTCTTAAAATGCATTTTGTCATTTCTTTTTTATAGAACTGCATCATATGCACTCGGGTCTTTTCTCAGTCTGCAACCCAATGTTGGATAAGTTGAAGACAATATTGATGATACGTGATCAACAACTTGATATCTTGACAAGTTTATCTTTGTTGAAGAGCCCAACATCTTTGCGGTTGGAAAGCCTCCATGCCAAGTCCCATTGGTCCTTTATCAGATTCAAGTTCGAACTCTGGCTGGGCCACTTCAAAAGGTCAATACTTTGTCCAGTTAAAAGAAAGTTTTTAAAATATTACATTTAACCTAAATGTACCAGTGTTATAAATAAACTTGGACTTAAATTAACTGTATGCATAAAGCCTTTTGGCCTTTTTTTGTATTCTACCATAGCATAAAAACTGTTACATATGATTGACTTCCCATCAGATAAGAATAAAACTCATTGGGTTACAATTAAATTCCTAGTCACATCTGTTGGCTGCTGTCCCTCTATGTGTCACACAAAGGAATATTGCTGAGCAGCATTCAAGCCATTCTACAATTAGATTACAACTAAATTCATGTCAGCTATCATAAAATTTATTACAGCTTATTTTAACCTGCCAGTATGTTAATTATTTGAATTAATTTCAAATATTCAGGTATTTATCTGCAGAGAGCCTTTCTTTGGTTGCTACCAGCTGAAATAAAGACTGAAAACATGTTTGGATGAATAAGTAGACCAGATGGGAAAGTTGACATAACAAAGTGTGAAGTAGGGCTGTTGTAAATGAT